TAATGCTCATGCGTTCCCTCAGCCATCTTTCTGAGTGCTTGTCATTGATGCACCAATGCATGCCTGACTTTCAGAACCCTGGGCTCCTCTCTAGTTTGGAGAGAGGGATTTCCTAGCCCAAAAAAGCATGAAAGATGGAGGCATGTCACTTAAACAACATATACCCACTTTGAGAATAGATTTTTAAAAAAGAAAGAAAAAGGGAAATGCACAACTCCCCTCTGAGGCAGCTTGATGAGAAAACAAAATATCGCATGAATTTATTTTCGAGCTGTTTTTGACCATGACCGTTTTTGAACACCCTCACAGAGGACATTGATTGCAAGATAGATTTGCAGATAGAACTTCATGGCGCCACTAGACAATAGATAATCGCTCTATATGAATTACACCGTTAGTCATGTATCAGTGAATGCATATCTGTATGAATTAAATGTAAGAGCAAACCAGTTTTGTAAGTTAAAGGAAAGCATGGCAGCGTTTCAGGACACTTATATTTTTTCCAAGGAGCACATGTGCTCCTATGTTGAATAATTCAGGAGCACATTAAAACTTTAGGGTTGCAACGAAAATGTGTTTTTCCTTAAATGGATACAATGAGATATTTACAAGCATAGCATATATAAAGTCTACTGTATAATACATTGAATAATATATGTAAAATAATGTTATCAGTTAAAGCAGCAGAGACCGAAACTACAAGAGTTTACATTAAATTCAGTGTTAGATAACCAAAATACCAATATTAACCAAGAAAAAATGTTGGACTTTATTCATTGTGGGGCTGTTAATTATAAACAAGCCTGCAATACACTGGGACTTTTGACATTTCTATTCTTTACTATTGCTGGCTACACATCCAAAAAGATGAGGGAGATAAAATATGCACTCTTACAATCATTTACAATTAGAAGTAAACATCATAAATCATCAACAGTCGATCATAAGCAATCGTTTGGCATAAATGCTTGATATTCATTGATTGTGAACTGCTCTGAAACCACAAGCCTGTTGAACGAGCAACTGCACAGCATTTTGATTTTTAAATGTGCAGTGCTCATATTTTATGTAATGCAATCATAGCATTTTGAAATTTAATAATCACATTAAGCTGTATTGCGATTCCGTACCCACATTTAAGATGTCTTCAAATGAAAATGAGATGTTTGTTATACAAATTAAGATATTTAAGACTTTTAAAAACACATATTTTTTGTTATATTTACATCAGTTGCTTATCTTTGTTCCAAACAAACTTTTTCAAAAACACAGATTCATTCAAGTGTTTTATTTACAGATGCGCAATGATTTTAAAATGGGTTTGTTTGGAGCTATATTTATTGGCGGCGCAAAAAGAGACTGAGAATATTGTGTCTTTATGTAACTTAATCAATATTAACTTTATTTATTGAACGGTATAAATGAATGCCAAACTCGCAATCGCGTTGTAATTTTCTTTGTGTATTTTGAAAGTCATGGGTTACAGGAATTTCTTTTATGTGAGTGTGTTGCAAGATGTTCTTGACTACGTAAGATTAAGCATTTAATTTGTGAACAAACAGGAGACAATAAAACAATTCACATTGTAAGTTGAGAGGCATGAGTGCACTAGATTTGATCAACACATGTCTTGAAATAGCGCATTAATAACCCCATCTGCTGCTGGATCAATTGTGTAGCTTGTTCTGCGGTCTGGATTCTCCACCTCATTTGTTGGCCTTCTCAGTCATGTCTCAGTATCAGCTACAAATTAAAGCTTGTGGTCGAATCAGCATGCCTGTGATGGCCATGCTCAATGGTCCTCATCTAAATGCTGTTTTTGTCCCTTGACCCCTTGAAAAAAGAAAGAAATGGCTCTCATTTAGAGGGTTTCAGTGCAAGCGTGTCATCAGGTCGTTCACATTTGCACTTCCAATCAATCACAGCGTTAACCTGTACTTGGAAACAGCATGCTAATGGAGACATGCCTTAAGAAATATGTTCAAGAGGATTTTTTTCTGAGCAAATTGTTTAAATGGCTTGTTTTACTGTCAAATATATGTAATGTGGTGTGTGTTTCTGGCACAAGTTGTCATCTTGCTATTTTGGTGTGATTTAGTATTTATCACAATTTAAAGAAACAGTTCAGCCTAAAATGAAATTTCTGTCATCGTTTACTCACTTTCAAGCTGTTTCTGCATAATTTCCATTGAACAAAAAGGAGATGTTGAGCAAAACATTCAATGTTATTTTACAATGGAACTGGAGATGGAGACTATATATATATATATATATATATATATATATATACACAGTATATTTATGTGTGTGTGCATTTCTATAGCCTGTATGAAGAGCTCATTTGCAAAAACAGATAACTCAAAAATAACAGATTCTCAAATCATGGTTTTTCGTTGTGCATTACAATTAATCTCAATCAAACTGCAGTTGGGTTATTTTGATTAGGTTAAAAAATAACTAAAAATTACAGCTAACTAACACAATAAAAACATGATTACATAATAAAAGACATGCTTTTTGAAAATGTCAAAAAACGGAGTTATCAGTGTTTGCAAATAAACTCGTCATAGGTGTATATATATGCAGTGTGTCTGATCATGACCGCTGGTGACGGCGCTGACGGTCAGTCTGAGCTTGTGTTTACAGTGTGTCAGTGTGGATGGGATGCTAAAGTGAGCAAATACACAAACTCCTAATAACAGGCCGCTGTCAGTCACTGAGGAACGTCAGCAGATTACATCAATGTAAAGATGTTGCTATTTTTACCAGCGGTTTGGTTGTTTTAATCTAGCTGGTTAATCTGTGCTGGGGCTTTGAGCTGAGCTTCATTCACGCTCATGTTTTAATGAGGATTCCAATGATCTTAATGCACACGAGAGACAGTGTTTGTGTTTAATTAGAAGTTATTTTTCTTCTATTGTTGTTTTAGTGAGTGATGTTTGACATACACCACGATCATTCACTGAGGAATACAGACAGTTCATTATATGTCCGTGTGAGCAGGCTGAGGCCCCCAATACCTTCACTTACTAACCAACTAACTAACTCATGTGCATCATGCTTTCCTTTCTATGTTGGGTTATCATCGGTCTAATCATGCCCACATGAACGCAAACACAGAGACTGACCAGACATCACTTTAGTATTTGTGTGCATTCTGTCAGTATTGATCAGCGTTTCCGTGACTCATCATCTCTGTCCGTTTATAACTGTGCAGATGTTTGAACAGGAACAGGAAGTGAGGTCACTTTTCTGCTGTCGAAGTTCAGCTGTTACAGTATTTATTTAATCTTTGCTAATGTTAGTTCATAACAATGTCAGCTCAGGTTCATTAAATTGTTAACAGCTCTTTATTTTAATAAAGCATTAGTAACTGCTGAATTAACGTTAACAAAAATTAATAATAATTTATTATAATTTATTATAATAATAATAATAATCAGCACTGAAATAGATCAAACATACAAACTCAAATAGCACAAACATTTAAATTGCACACAAGTCAGTTTTATCAACTTTTAATGATATAATTATATTTCTACTGCAATTTATTGTTTAAATATTAGCATTTAAACAGGCTACAGTACAGTTATTATTACTATTTATTATTGCCGTTATTATTCCTAGCTAACTGATGAGTTTATGGACACTGAATAATCTTAAGATTTCTGCGGTTGAATAGATTACACGATTCTTGATTCATTTCAGTGAGTTGTTCTGTTTCGTTAAACATCTTCTGACGTTCATTCATGTTTGTTTCATGCTATAACTAGTAGTAAAGAGGAGCAGAAATGTGTCACGGCACATTAAAGAGCAACAAAAAGTGGTATTTATTGATTGGATTTAGCGATGAAATTGACAGAATTTGAAAGCTGGGTCTTTGTTTCATGTTAAAAAAATAGTGAAGCACAGAGATTATTATAATAAAAATAATGTTTAGTTCATGCGTCAGTGGAAAACAGAAGCAAGAAAATTGTAAATAAAACAAAGATTTTTGTAGTCTTTCAACTACAATATTCGTGTCAATTTCTATTGAAACGTGAAGGATTTTTCAGTGTAGGATAAAAGATCCCAGTGGAGTTTAAGAATCGATATCGGCTCACCCAAATGAAGTCTGATTAACATTAATTATTGATATCGTCCTCGGGTTTGAGTGAAAGCGAGGCGGTTTTGGGAAGCATGTGTCTCTCTGCTGAACTACAGTGTTTCAGATCTTAGGAAAGACCCAAATTTTCCTACTCGAAATATCTTTCAGGGTTTCAGACCACAGGAAAAATGTCTTTATCCTGGATTTCTGTGTTTGGTTTGTGTGGCATCCACAGCGTTTGTGCTCTCAGCGGCGGTGACCTCGCGGCCGCAGCAGAGGCTTCTGGGTAGCAGTGCGTGTTCAAGCCCTTCTGGCTCCAGATGCGGTTCTTTAAACGTCTCTTCGAGCGGAGGGAAAGCAGACGGCGGTGCGCTACCGTTACCGTTATTCAAATAAATAAAACATTGTTTTCTCATGCAGCATGTCTTCTTTCAGGACAGAAAACATCCAAAGTGTTGCTTTTATTGCACTTTAAAAAAAGAGTTTTCTCTTACAAACAGCAAACGTTACAGTTTTATTCCTCTGTATATTCTGAAGGTTTGTTCATATTTCATTGACACATTTTACTCCTAAAAACATGGTAAAATGTGTTTGTTTTCTGTCTGTTGACAGTATTTTCTGATTTATGATAAAAAGAGAAATCCACAATCCCCTCTGGAGAAACCTTTAACTCTAATATGAGGACAAAATCAGACCAGAATACGTCTGCCTCTCTTCAGCTTTATTACCTACGAAAGCTCTTCAGTCCTAAACAAACACGCAGAGCTCGCTCTCAAAGACAGGTTGTGTGCTGTAAGCTCAGGAACCAGTGTCCAGTGTGAGTTAGTTTGATGTTTAATTGCAGACTGAGAGACCAATAGACTGTGCATACTCTTGAGTGTTTACTATTATTGTCTATGTGAGAAATCTCATGTTTATTATTGGGAATGATAATTGTTTTCTATAAAGGAAAGCTTACATATTGACGTCTTTTCAGCATTTACCTTTAAGAGAAGAAGTAAAAAGAAAAGGCGACCAAATCAAACCAAATTGAATTCAGTATTTTAATAAGGCTAAATACGACTGATGTGAGTTTCATATTATTATATGAAGAAATTTCATTTTGGGGATTAATTATTGGGCTTTTTTTTGGTTCCAGTAAATAAAACTTAAGATGCAGTTCTTTTTAAAACATTTACCTGTATAAAAAGAAGTAAAAAGAAACATACAATGAAAAGGTGACCAAAACAAACCAGTTTGTTTTCGATATTTTGATACGTCTAAATTTTCGTTTTGATAAGTCATGAAATTTGCATTACAATATGAAGAAATTTCATTTTGAGGATTAATTATTAGTAATTATTATATTCCAATAAGTTAAAAAAAAAAAAAAAAAAAAAAAAAAATATATATATACTA